AAGGTAACATTTGTTTATACTCCAATAAAAAAATACAAGAGAAAAGGTGAAGCGCGGGGGGGTGCCCTGGGTGGCTCAGTCATTAAGTGTCTGCCTTCAGCTCAGGTCATGATCCCAGGGTCCTGGGATAGAGCCCCGCATCGGGCTCCCTGCTCAGTGGGGAGCCTGCTCCTCTCCCACTGCCCCTGCCTGTGTTCCTCTCTTGCTGTGTCTCTCTCTGTCAAATAAATAAAATCATTAAAAAATAAAAGAAGAAAAAAGAAAGAGAAGAAAAGATGAAGCCGGGAATGAGGTTTGTTTTTTTTTTTTTTTAAAGATTTTATTTACTTATTTGACAGACAGAGATCACAAGTAGGCAGAGAGGCAGGCAGAGAGAGAGGAGGGGAAGCAGGCTCCCTGCTAAGCAGAGAGCCCGATGAGGGGCTTGATCCCAGCACCCCGGGATCATGACCTGAGCTGAAGGCAGAGGCATTAACCCACTGAGCCACCCAGGCGCCCCAAGGAATGAGTTTTATTAGACTTTTTCATCTTGCTTATCAGTGGGTAGGAAGTTTGACAATTCCTAGTAGCCAGCGTAAAGAGAAACTCAGGGGCGCCTGGGTGGCTCAGTCAGTTAAGCATCTGCCCTCTGCTCAAGTCATGACCCCAGCGTCCTGGGATGGAGCCCTATATCGGGCTCCCTGCTCTGTGGAGAGTCTGTTTCTCCCTCTGCCAATCTTTCCCCACCCTCAGCTTGTGCTCTTTCTCTCGCTTACTCTCTCTCAAATAAATAGATAAAATCTTAAAAAAAAAAAAAAAAAAAGGAAACTCAAATACATAAGTTGATGTTTGTAAGGTGAAGAAAAAAAGGTACACATTCCCAGTATTCAGTGTGGAGAGACTTACCCTTCGTGGATCCTCAGAGGGGAAGAAGCCAAAGTTTGAACCCAAGCCCTTTGCACTTTTTACCTCGTAACTTTTCTCCACCTCAAAGGCGGGTGAATTCTGCTCTACTTACATGTATCCATTTGATGTCAAAACCCTTCGTTCCTAAACAATTCTGGACTAACACTGTACTCATTTTAATTTTCTTCTTAGTGTTCCTTTAAACCCATAACTTGGTTTAGATCCTGCCAAACTACTTATTGGGCCCTGAACTTACACTGATTTTTAAAAATTCTATTTTAAGTATACATTCAGTGTATGAAAGAGCCTTCAGTGGGCAAAGAAGGGGGTGCAGGAAAGCAGGGAAGGAGAAGGAATGCAGTTTTATTATAGTACTTTATAGAGCAAAACATGTAATGACTGAGCAGGTCTCTCTGTCTCTCCCACCTCCTAGTCAACCGGAAACTTCGTCTGGGCTACGGTGCACTCATGACTGGCTTCTCTCTACCAGCCCCTGCCTGGGGACTGCTGTTCTTAACAAGGCAGCCTTCATGAACTGCAACATACTTTTTAGTCACAGACACTTAGAGAACTTTGGCTTGTTGAGAGTTATGCAGGGCAAAGGGAGTTTTAATATAGTGTGTGGGCAGGCAAAAAGGCTGGTGTTAGACCTACCAGTAAGTGTGTGTGTGTGTGTGTGTGTGTGTGTGTGTGAGAGAGAGAGAGAGAGAGAGAGACAGACAGACAGACAGACAGGGAAGCAAGATAGAAGGGGAGAGAGATGAGTTTCTCCCAAGTCTGTTCTGTATCTCTAAAGTGGGTTGATGGTTCTCAGCCTGTCTGCCTCTTCTCCAGGACTGTGGTGATCATGTATGTGTCCTGCTGTGTGTTGGACGTGCTTTGGAAGCTGTGTAGCCCTGTGCACCCGTAAGTCTGGTTAAATGTGCCATTTACAACAGAGGAAGAGAGTGCGCTTCCTTAAAAGGAGTTTTCAAATGATACAGAGCGTCGGAAGTAGCACACGTAAATCAATGAGCAGGACCAGACTTAAAGTAAAATTGTGGGAAGCAAAGCCTAACCTCAGAGCTCAGAAAACTTGAGATCTGACAAATCACTCATTTAACCAAACGCTGTGTGTTGGGAGAGTGGTTGAACTGCCATCTGAATGGTGGTGGCCAGTCTTCATTGACAAAAGCTGCCATCTGTACTGATTTATGGAATAAAATGTTAGAATGTTTCAGTTGTTACGGAACTTGAAAGATGACTGGCGTCTCCAGAAGATGTCAAATGTCACGTCGGTTTTTGAGCTTTGTTTTGTTTTTCTGAAGCCATCATTTTGAAGACGTTGCCATAGTTGTGCATGTGTGTGTTAACTTGGAGGTGACTGGTTAACCTGATGAGGAGTTGGAATTTGGTAGCCAGGAAGAAAAATCGGTATTTTTGATTAGCCCGTCCTTTGTTTCAGGAACCAGCTTCCCTTTCTTGGCGATTGTGGAGCTGCCCTATTCAGTGTGTTTTTTGGGTCATACGGGAAACGTGTGAGGTCTTCATCTGCCCCCTTGAGTCTGCATCAGGGCTTAATGGTGCCTGAACTCAGAGGAAAGTACGCTGTGGGCTCCCAGCCATGTGGGCTGCCTCTGGCACCAGATGGCAGGGCAGAACAGCGTGAAGTGGGGTGATCTTAGCAGGAAGGCCTGCGGCTTCAGAGCTGCTTGCCTACCTGCACAGTGCAATGTGTGTCTTTGCTGAACATCACGAGGGCATCTGCGAGAGTCTCCTATTTAGAAATCCTTTTGAAACAGCAGCCCTGTCTCGGACTTGCCTTCCTTCCTGTTTCTGTAGTGGGTGCCCCCCCCTCCCCACCCAACTGTCCTCCTTAGTACCTGGGCATGTGTGGTGGGAGCAGGACCTTCAGCTCGTCCCTGTGGTCTGGGACTCCTGACCAGGCCGTCCCCGTTCCGGAATGCTGCTTCTGCTGCTGCGACTGTAGCAGGCAGTAGGGAAGTCCCAGTTCCTGTTCCCACTGCCTGAGGTCTGACCCAAGGTTCCCATTCTTGGGGCTGGGACCCTGCAGTGCATGGCACTGAGGGAAAGTGAATGCGGAGAAACATCACTTCGATTTTCTGGGTGTTTTTTCCCTTAACAGTATGTGCCCTCAGATAAAACCGCCACAAAAGAAAACCAAACAAATCATCCTCACTCTGACACTTTTCCTGTAACTTAGATGTTGGCATAGCCTGGGAACCTAACTAATTAGGTCTGTGAATGAATGAAAAGCATTCTGAGTCCCCAACACCGGACTTATAAAGAAAGGATTTTCTTTAAAGAAAGCACTTATAAAGAAAGAAAAGCATTCTGAGTCCCCAACACCGGACTTATAAAGAAAGGCTTGTAATAGTCACAGTCACAACTTATTAAGGAGGTTACCCTCAATCGTTATTAATAACCAATGATCCCATTAATAAATTAGACTATTACTGTGAAGCATTAGCACCACCCCTGACGTGTAGTAACCTTAAGTAGATGTCAGTGGCTGCTGGCACCACCACCGCCAGCATGTTCAGGGTGGAAAGAGTCATTCTTGCTATACTTACGCTCATAGGAATGGTCCACTGAAAAAAAAAAAACACACAAGACTCTGATTCCAGAGAGATGGAGAAGTTAGTTTTAATACTGTTGATAGGACACTTGGAAATGTTGGGAGTAATGGCAGACACCGGTGATGGGCCCATCCCAGATCCACTCAGCTTTTGGCTGGAGACAGAATATCAAGTCCTGAATACATAACAATGAGATTAATTAAGTGTAGTGTCTCTGACCACGTTTGGAAGAGAAGTGTGTTCATTTGCTTATTTATTGACTAAGCAAATGTTTATTGAGCCCGTAGTATATGCCAGGTGCTGTGCTGCTCAGAAAGGGGAGCTGTTGGCTGGAGGGAGATAGTCTGAGGCTTTAGGATGCAGGAAGGATTTTTGAAGAGGGAGACAAGCAGTGGATAAGGAGTCCAGACGGGAGCCGCAGGAGGAACTGTGACAGAAGTCCTGCAGTCACAGCGAGGAAATGGTTTTGTCTTTACTGCTAAACCTTTAAAGAGCATCGTAAAAATAAACAAAACGAAACTCAGACCCTTTGATTCTGGAGAACAGGCTGTTGGAGCTGACTCACCAGCCTGCTGCTAGTGTGTCATCAGGTCACGTTGATGAAGTTGCTTAATCCAGGTGGCCAAGTTCTCCATACACTCTGGCCGCATCCCATTGGCTGTCTTTGTTAAGGGTCTGGGCTGTGGGGATCCCAGCAGGGAACACAAAGGGATCAGAGGACATGGCCCTTGTTCTCAAGGACACAAGCCAGTGTTGGGTCCATGGTAACCTGGGCTTGCAAGGGGCTCAGGTGTTTAAGTTGGAAGTGGCTGTCTGTAGAAGCCACGCAGGGCGGGTATTGCTGTCTTCTTGCTTCACGTTCCTCTTATGCCAAGAAGGTTTTCCATACTGGTTTCCTTTCTTAGAGGCTAAGTTATAATTCTGCAGTCCAGCATCCCTTGCCATGCTTGTTTTGTGTGTGCTCGGAGGTCTTCCACTCCGTGCTGTTAAAGGAATAAAGTCACTCTTCTCTGGTTGATCGTGATCAGCTGTTATGAAGTTTAAATCTGAGGATCAAATTCTCTGCTTGACTTTATAATTTTTGTTTTTATATTTTTTTTATAGATTTTCTCCTCCATCTTTTCTGCATTAACCATTGTTATCTCCTTGTCCCCTAATTTGGGAAAAGATATTTATAGGTTCAGAGGAATTTAATGAGATACGAATTTTGTGAGCAGTTTATCTTTGTTAAAAAGACGGATACATCATCTCTAAATTACATGGATTTACTGTTAACTCTCGGATACTTTTGGACAGCTTTTTCATTTTCTTACCAGCTTTTTTCCCCTCCCCTGTAGAATGCCTTAGTTTATTTTCCTTGATAAGCAACATTCCTCTAATTTACCAAAATATACTGTTTGAAACATACTTTGATAAAAATCTGCATGGACCAGAAAAGTTTCCATTGATCACGGAGAGGGCAGTGTGCTTATGTTAACTCTGAACAGCCCCAGCTCAGCCTGGCCTCCTTCAAAGTATTTTGGTCTCTCATTTCAGCCACCATTACAAGTTCATCCGAAAATGATGACCGGAGTGGCTCCAGTTTGGAATGGAATAAGGACGGAAGCCTAAGGTTAGGGGTACAGAAAGGAGTCCTTCATGATCGCAGGGCAGATAATTGCTCCCCAGTGGCAGAAGAGGAGCCCCCTGGGTCAGCGGAGAGCGTGCTGCCTGACACTGAAGCCTCAGTTGGAGATGGTCCGGTCCCTTATTCTCAGAGCTCCAACTCGCTAGTAATGCCACGGCCCAACTCAGTTGCAGGTAAGGCCATGCCTCTCTCCAGGAGGGTTTTCTCTCTGGGTCCGAGGTGCCCCATGTTCACTGTCTCTACTTGGGGATCGCATCCGGACACAAGCCAGCTTTGTGATCGTGGATTGGGCACTTACCTCGTCTAGGCCTCAGTTTACCCATCTGTAACAATGATAAGACTGTCCTTCATGGTCTTTAAGTGATCCTTCCACTCTGGAATTCTGTAAAACTAATATTTAGAATCTTCTGTTCTTTTGTGTGCGAAAGAAGAAAGTGCCAAAAACTTTGTCCTTGTTTTCGATATTTTAAGCTTGAGTAAATTCATAACTTTCTACTACATCTTGGTAAACACGAATCCTTATTTAGAATTAGTTTGTTAATATCAGCTCCAGGAATTTCTGATCCAGCTTTCAAACTTACTTTTCTATAATTGAGGTGCATCCTAGAGATGGGAGGTCTGCTCTCTGTATCGTTCAGTTACAAGGGAGCTCACAGCTTAAAACCTACGCGGTGTAAGTGAGGCTTCTCGATCGAGGGCATGCAGGCAGGCAAGGCAGGTGCCCCTCAGCGGGATGGGGCAGCTGGAGTGAGACGAGGACCCAAAAAGGGGCGACTGTTCCCGGTTGATAGTGAGTGGTCACCAAGCAGGGAGAGCAGTGGGGTGGGCGAAGAAAAGAACCCTGGTTCTGAGCTGTGCTGATGGCTTTTATGGTCCTGAGTTTCTGAACTCTGTGCTCCTGGGTTGAGTTTAGAAGATGACCTTGTTTCAGCCCTTCTTTTTCTCCAACCTAGCACTTAAAACTTCTCTACTAACACAAAGTTCTTTCTCCCTACATCAAAGAATTTTTTTTTTATACTGCTTCTTGGGGAGATGGCAGGTCAGTCTGGTTGTTGTGGGGCATTTTTTTCCCCCCCAGTAGAACTCTGAAGCAGCTGATACATAAATGGCCCTAATGGAAAAGTCTGGAGAGGCAGCTCTAATTCACTTTCAAAGGATGTAAATGGCCTTGTTCCAGAAGAGGGATTTGGCATGTCTGCCAGAGAGAAGTTCTGGGGAGCGTTATTCATATTCAGTGATGGCTCTTCCAAAAGCTTTTATGCCCTCCTACCACTTCCCCACTCCCAACTGTGCGGTATGACACACCCAAGGCGTTTTATACCGCGACTACCTCGTTAGGATGAATGGTTCGTATGTATGATCCCAGAACTTGATAGTTTTATTGACTTCAACAAAATAGCAAACTTGTATTCAATTTAGCCAAGCTGGTTTAAAATTAGTAAGCACATTGCTAGTGTTGAAAGCCCCCCATGTGGGGTGATGTTTCTGCCTGATGTTCTTTCATGTGGCCTGCCATGTGCCTCGACAATGGGTAGGAGCTGAGCCTTTCCAGGACAATGCCCTGATTATAGAGCAGGACTTTCAGATTTCTGCTGTGCTCATTCATTAGTGTTGATGTGTGCATTGGAGCTAGACCTCCTGTGGAATGGGAGGGTTTTACCTCCAGGTTTGAGCTGTGTCTGCCTGGTCTAATGGGTTGGCTCACTTCTTCTGTGTTGCAAGTTTTATCAGCTAAAAGCTTATTTTGGAAACAAGCGAATTCCTTACCTCATGGTATCTGTTCTCAAGCTAGGAGTCTGGGAGAGCCTTCACAGCCCGCCTTCCTTCCCCCTCAAGCCAAACCTCAGTCAGAAGTCATGGCAAGATTTTTCCACATATCGTTGAAAAGAGTAAAAGATTCAGGTTGTGTAGACTGTGTGTAGCACTTTTTCTAGTGATGAGGCGGCCAGCTGCTACAGAGGGGGCAGTAGGCAACCCTCAGTGTTGGAAGGATTAAAATAATATGTCCAAGACCATTATTGCAATCCCTTGGAAGTATTTGCATGTGAAGAGCCACATAAACACAAATAAATTGGCATTTGGGGAACATCAAACGATTAAATTGGGCTAATGAGAGCAGAGTAAGGACTGGCAGGTGAAGGAACGGGGATGCCAAGCCTCTGTCCACAGCTGCCCCGGGGGTTCTGGCCTCCCCTGGGGGGTGAGAGTATGGAAACAGGTTCCTGAGGTTGCCAGCCTTTGCTGTCAGTGAGCCTGTTACCAAGAACTGTGGTTATCTCTTCACTGTTGTGTCTAGTACAATAAAATTCTTATGTCAGAGACTATAAAAATAAGTTGGCTGGGTTTGGGGATTCACTGTAGAAAGACTTTCTTTGTAAAGGTATTTGTTGGAGTGGAATTGGTTTCAAATGCTACATTCAGATTATTACTTTATACCACATCAAATGTGCGGCATGGACACCTCATTCCTTTGTTAGAAAACAGAAGAGAAGGCTTTAAAGTGATATCTTAGATAATCTAGAAGTTGGGTGATTAGGTTCTGTTGTTTTTGGCTAACTTCTTTCTTCTTTTGAAATGCTTTCTAAGTGGATCATAGACACAGTATTTAGTTTTCCAAGAAACCAACAAACAGAATTACCAGCCAGTTTTCATGAAATTGCCTAGACTTTATGGCATTTACATTTAATATGTTAGGACATGGTGTTTCAACAGGTGTTTATTTTTGCTTAGTTTAGGGAAGTTTCCTTCTGCTTCTCCCTCCACCCTGCCCACCCCCTAAAAAACTCTCCCCTTCTTAGCATCCGGAAATGTCTTTCTCATTCAGATGTTAGATGCAGTGTGCGTGTGTGTATGTGTGCAGTGAGTGTGTAAATTAACTGTAGGTTTACTAGCAGCAGGCTTATTGCAGCATAAAATTATTGCTTTTTTTTTTTCCTTGACCCTGAGTCCAGCTGAGACTTTGAAAACATTTATTATTAAATACCAGAAGTGAGTCTCCGTGTCTGAGAACCTACTGTACGCATGTTTGGGAAGGCAGGCTGTGGTCCTAATAGCCCGCTCTGCCAGGGGAGCGCACCAGGGGCCCAGCAGGTGGCTGGAGCTCCGCTGTCCCCACTTGTCTCTCTCAGTGGCTTTGACAATAGCTTAGGAAGCAGAGGCGGCCCGCAGCTCCTGGCTGGCAGCACCCACTCCGAGCTACTCCATTTCACTGCATCTTAATCATGCTTGAAACAGAGAATCAGGAAGGCTGCAGAGTGGGTGAGGCCACTTTGTTGCATACTTGGGAGCCAGAGATGTAGTGACTGGAAATCTCAAAACAGGGCTGTTTTCAGCCTCACCATCTCCTGTATCTGGGTCCAGCTGGGGCTCCATCGAGATCCTCTCTTTGCAAAGCCTTTACAGAGTCTCGTGTTCTTAATCCTTCCAGTTGTCACGAAATTATGAACTGAATGTTGTGTTCTGAGGGGTCAACAGAAGAAGGAAAATGGGAAACCCTTGGGAGGCTCCAGGTGTCCTTGAGTTGCCCAGGGCTGAAGTGGCAGGTCAGATCGTCGTGGCTGTGCCGGCTCCGAACTACACTTGGCTTATAGGTTACAGCGGTGGCTTCTCCTTCTCCCTCAGCCGCCGGCATGCAGGCACGTTCACTGTAAGATGTGTTGAGGAGAGGGGCATTTGCAGAGGCCTGGGTCAGAGTCCCAGGTCTCAGGCAGCAGCCCAGAAATATATGTTCCAGGCGGTATAAGTGTCAGGAGCCAGGGTGAGGGTCCTAGTGGCCCACCGGGGAATTTCACACACCTAGTTGTAAAGGACCCAGAGAGAAGCTAGAGGCTGCCTTTGGATTCCCAGAAATTGGGTCCATTTAGAAGTCCTGCCTAAGGAATTAGTTGAATCTTTCTCATGGGAGAGATTTCTGCGGGGGTATTGACATAAGTTAAATGAACTGTGGCTATTCACCGGAAGGATACTGGAACATTAAGTATACGCTGTTGTGAAGTTAAGGCATCAGATGTCTCTCCTGGTACTGGGCGTGTGGTGGATTGCCATCTGGGGAACGTGGCAAGGGGGGACATGTCACCACAGAGCCAGAGCTTGGAGCCGCGCAGGTCTTGTTGAATGAAGGAGTCAAGGTGGGGCGTGGGGGTTGTTAACAATGAGGAGGAAAAGGATGAAAGCCAGCAGGGGAAATAGGACCCAGACTGAGCAGGTGGTGCTGGCCAGTGGCTGGATGCTCTGAGCCAGAAGGTTTTCAGCAGAGAGATGGCCCAACTTGACTTCTCGCCCTCGAACCTGGTCCCGCCAATGATTGCACCAGTCCCGGGAAGCCTTCGCCCTTGGAAGTCAACTCCTGCTCCCTACTTATTTACTCTCAAATGATGCCTGTGCTTATGTCCCAGAAGAGAACTGTAGGTCTTGGGTCAGCGGTACCTTATGTTGGGCCACTTAACCCACAAACAAATTGGGTTAATTTTATTGAGAATTCTCTCATTGTGGCCTGGGTTGTATCTGCAAATAAGAGGTTTTCTTCTTATTATTATTTTTTTTCTTTTTGGGCAAAAACATGTATCATGTATTTATTGTTAAGATTTGCTAAGAATTAGCAACACTATTTTGTATTGATTGTTTTTATAATCCAACTGGTATGTATGCTCAAGCAGATTTTAATGCATTTTAATGGGTACCTGTGTGCCCTGAGTCTTACTGATTTGATCAGTGGTAAATATTACTTCCTTTTAGAATTTAAAAAAATACATACCTGTAGTATAGTATATAATTTACACATAAAAATCTAAAGTTTGGGAATATGTTTATTTCCGATGAAATCCACATGGCTCCTTTCCAGCCGGGAGCTGACGTTTCGTGTTCAAGCTCTATGGGATTGAACTGCAGACTCTGCTCATTTAATTAACAAGGCTGGAATCCAGCAACCCCGGAAGGCTCTCCGGAGCTGCAGAGAAGTCCGAGAAGTCTCTAGCACCGAGCTGTGTGTTTGCTGTAGTACTGCAGCCTCACTGAGTGACGCTTGAAGGTCAGGTTCCTTCGTAAACATTTTTGGTGAAGTCTGTCTCTTCCCAGGAATGATGGAGAATTCCGGCAACCTTAGCACCACAACGTTAAGAATGAGGAACACTTGGTGTTTATCGTTTTTCAGTTAACCTCCCTGCCAGAGAAAATAAGCTGGCGTGGGCAAACAAAACCGAATTACCTTGAAGTCATTTTTGTTGAAAGCCTGAACACAGTTGCTTAGTGCTAAGTGATTTATGATTGATAGTAGTTTGGGTATGATACTAAAATCGACTTTGAAAAAACTAAACTTGAGTTTACTATTTCAGCGACAAGCTCCACCAAGTTGGAAGATCTGAGTTATTTAGACGGGCAGAGAAATGCCCCTCTTCGAACGTCCATTAGATTGCCGTGGCACAGTACAGCCGGAGGTAGGGCACAGGAAGTTAAAGGTACTTACCTTTGTTTCTGCTGGGACAGTGGATATCGTGAGTGCGTTCACCCAACACTGAGGATCTGTGATGACCAGCGTTTAAGTCAGCTCATTTAGAAACATGACGTGTGCGTGCTGAAAGTGGGTCTGTTAGGTGTGCTGGGAGGCCCTCTGTAATGGTTTGGGGCTTCTTCCTTAAAAATCTGTGACCAACTCATTTCTGCAGTTGAAAAATAATTCTGCAATATGTTATTTTGAAGTGAGGGGTAATTTAACACGCACTGGATAACACTCACTTGTCACCAACAGAAAATCAGCTTTGTTTCAGGTCCATGAGCCATTGGCCACCTCCTGTAATTCACAGTCAGGTGGTCCTCAGCCTCACCGAGGGGGTCTCTTGTCATCATGGCCCGATGAGAGCTGGGGCCCTGTCTCCAAGCAGACGCCTTTCCCTTTGCCTCCTATGGTAGTGGAAGAGACCTGTCTTAGATACTGTTTCACACAAACTAATGAGACCTGGTTTGGCCGCCTGCATCGCTTTCTCTAATCCTCTGTGCGTCTGTCCTGATTCGTGAGGACAGAACTATCCGGTCATTTTAATAGGACCCTTTGTAAAACCCACAAGGGATTATAAATGAGATATGACAGAAGTATTAATAGAACCAGATTGAAAACACAGATCCCTGGTGGCTTACAATTAAAGGCTATATAGTACTAAGTATAACATACAAGCAATGCTAACTTGAGTTTTTAAGTGTATAAAATGATGGCATTCTTCTAAAATAATTATCTCTTTTTCCCCCCCAAGCACGATTTGCTCCCTACAAGCCACAGGACATTTTGTTGAAACCCCTGTTGTTTGAAGTACCAAGCATAACAACAGACTCTGTGTTTGTGGGAAGGGATTGGCTCTTTCACCAGATAGAAGAAAACTTGAGGAACACAGAACTGACAGAAAATAGAGGCGCCGTGGTTGTTGGAAACGTGGGCTTTGGGAAGACAGCCATCATTTCTAAGCTGGTGGCACTTAGCTGCCACGGAAGCCGCATGAGGCAGATTGCTTCCAGCAGCCCCGGTTCACCGCCTAAAAGTATGTGCGTGTTTAATGCGGTTAGTAGATGATGGGGTGTAAGGCAGAGGGAGGGCGTGGCTTGGATAGGCATCCCTTCTCCATTCTCCCCACGTCCTTCCAGCTGCCGGTTCAGATCTGCCGGCACATGTGGGAGGGAGAACCGTTGGAACGCCCCCTCCCTCCCCCCTCCCCTGGGGTAAGGCCAGCCTTCCCTGGTCTTCTCCCTGTAGGGCCTGTCTCCCTCTTTATGTGGGCAGTGAGGCCTGATTGGGTGTCCTGGGGAGTTTGGGTCCTAAAACCAGGCTGTGGAAGCAGCCAGGAGGAGTCTACATAGTTCTCTTGTTCCCTGTTCTCTACAGCCTATGCCCTCTATGCTGGATTTACCAAAGGCTTAAAAACTAAATATGGGATATAGTAGTTAAATACCTGACTAGTCCTGTCTTATTTTATGTAAAATAAGCCTATTAAAAGAAGGTGTCTCTAACATGGTACACAGGAACGAGTGAACCGTGAAAGAGTATGATGTAGCTTTTTTTTTTTTTGAAGATTTCGCTTATTTATTTATTTATTTATTTTTTAAAGATTTTATTTATTTATTTGACGGATGGAGATCACAAGTAGGCAGAGAGGCAGGCAGAGAGAGAGAGAGGAGGAAGCAGGCTCCCTGCTGATCAGAGAGCCCGATGTGGGGCTCGATCCCAGGACCCTGGGACCATGACCTGAGCCGAAGGCAGAGGCTTTAACCCACTGAGCCACCCAGGCGCCCCGTCGCTTATTTATTTGACACACAGAGATCACAGGTAGGCAGAGAGGCAGGCAGAGAGAGAGGGGAAAGCAGGCTCCCTGCTGAGCAGAGAGCCTGACAACGGGGCTCGATCCCATTACCCTGGGATCATGAGCCGAGCTGAAGGCAGAGGCTTAACCTACTGAGCCACCCAGGTGCCCCAAGTATGATTTTTTTTAAAAGCAAAAGGAATTTAATAAAAGAAACCAGAAACAGCAGTTCTCCCAGGAAGGCATCTGGGTGGATGGGAGGCAAGACTGAGAGGGATGCTTGTGTCCTCCTTTGAACCTTTGCATTTGGGACCGTGTTTACTCATTACCTGTTAAAATACTCTCTGCCTTTAATCAAGAAATATGTTCAGTGTCTCACCATGGCCCTGTTCTGATGTTGTAATAATGAGCTCGGTCTCTTTCTCTGCAGCTTTGGATTCCTCCCAGGATCTTCCTGTCACCCCACTGCTCTCACCGAGTTCTTCTGCAGGTGTTACCAACACAGCTAGAACACCCCCTGGGTCTGCGCCGGATGCTCCTGAGAACCAGAGACCGAGAGAGGATGCCGTGAAGTACCTCGCCTCGAAGGTAATCTTCTGTCCTGGGGGAGCCTTCCGGAGAGAGGAGTCGGGGGAGAGAGAGAGATTTGTTAGTTTGGCTTCTGAGAAAGGAATTTAAGGAGGGATCTTAAAACAGATGTAATTGCGTATAATAATGCAGAAATGGAGCTCTTGATAAAATAGCGATAGAGTACCCCAGGTAAGAGGTCTTAATGACAGGACAGGCAGACAGTTGGTGGTTTCTGATTTGGGTCCTTCGAACTCTGCTGCTGTTGAATTTCTCCACCGTGTCAGGTGTGGGGAGGGGGCCGAGGGTTTGAGCCAAGCTGCCCGGCCCTCCGGTCTGGGAAAAGCAGCAGCTAGGACTTTCGGCAGGGCTCCCCTCGTCACCAGCATTACCTGGTCTGGGGGAGCTGCAGATGAGCTTCCCAAGGAGATGCTGCTGTTTGTCGAAGCAGAAACACGCTGACTAGGGCACTTCCCACTGTTGAATACATCGGGATTATTCGGCATTGATTTAAGCCAGGGCAGGCTTCAGGTTTTATGAATGAGTTCTATTCCTTTGTTTTCCATACGGAGTAAGGTGTACCGATCTTAGTGCTAATCAAGATGGATTTGTGGCTGCAATTAAAAGTCTGCCCAGAAGTTGGCAAAGCGTGTGAATCAAAGAATGGCTGAACCAGTTAAGCTAAATCATGACTCCATGCTGGCGAATAGAGGAGACGTGTTTCGAGACCGTGGTGGACGGGAACACTGCGTCTGTTGGGGTTTGGGAGGAAGTATGTGATGGGGGGAAGGGGACACTGATGGCCGTTCTTCTTGCCTAGGTCGTGGCCTACCACTACTGCCAAGCCGACAACACATACACGTGCCTGGTGCCCGAGTTCGTGCACAGTATCGCAGCCCTGCTCTGCCGGTCCCAGCAGCTGGCTGCCTACAGGGACCTCCTGATAAAGGAGCCCCAGCTCCAGAGTGTGCTGAGCCTCAGGTCCTGCGTGCAGGACCCCGTGGCCGCCTTCAGGAGGGGGGTGCTGGAACCACTCACCAGCCTAAGAAACGGTACCTCGGAGCAGCCTCTCTCTCTCTCTCTCTCTCTCTCTGTCTCCTCTCTCATTAGGAGGCCGGAGCCCCCAGGATTGTCCTCCAAAGGTCTTGGTTGGGAGTGAGGGTGGGCACCTGGGGAGGATGTGGGTGCATCTGTGTACAGCTCCTTCTCTTCCCCAGAACCACCTCCCCAAAGCTCTTCCATGCTTCTTGAATGGTGTTGTTGCAAAGGAACACCTCTAATAAAGAATTACCTCCACAGTTGAATATTCATTTCCAAAGTAGCTAATTTGTAACCACAGGTTATTTAGAGGACTTATGCCCTGGAAACTCTTGCCTGCATATTTCATATTCCTTCCTACCTCTCAGGGGAATAAGTTGTTCAACTGAGCGACTTGCCAGCATATGTTTTTTCAGCGCCTCGGTTCAGTTGAGTTGAACCTAAAGGCTTTTCTAGAAGTGTTCATTTGATTCCTTCCTTCCTTCCTCCCTCCCTCCCCCTCTTTCTTTTTTCTTCCTTCCTTCTTTCCTTCCCCTCCCTTTCTTTCTCCATTTGTTCGTTCTTTCTTTCTTTCTTTCTTTCGTCCTTGAAATAGCCAGCAAGGTAGGAGATGTCAGTGCTCTTCTGGGTTTCTGCATTTCTTATCCTTTCTCCTCCTTGTCCCTCACCTGTGGGTGAGTTTACCTGCCTGCATTAACACTTCTGCGAGAGAAAAGGGGATTGAAACAGATCTGTCATCACTTCTCCTTGTTTTCGTGGGCAGAAAGTTAGTGCTAATAAATGGGAAACTAGATGGAGGCTTATGGGAAAGAGCCCTGTTTTAGAAGTCTATAAAAGAGAGGTTCTCACTATGGGCTGCCTGTGTGCCTTGGGCCAGGTGCTTTGCCTTTGAGGGTCTGTTTTTATTCCCTGACATCCACTGAGAGGGTTCTGTGGGGAGGACCTGGAGTCTTCTCCAGAGTTAATCTCCATGCGTGCTAGTTATCTTTGCCATAGCTCACCCCAGTGACAGGAGTTTATGAAAAGCTAACGGTATCATATATGCAGGTAAGATTCTGCCAATGGGTGTAACGCAATGTGTTTCTGAACACTGTTTATAAGATTTTTCTCTTGGCTATGTGCTCTGGTTTTAACTATAAATTTAATAGAAGTAGGCTTCTGGGAAAACCAGTTCTTTTTTTTTTTTTTTTT